TAGAATTTCTGCTTATAAAATAAATCCATGAGGAAAGCAGGAAGGCAAACCACACAGTAGAAAAAGAACTTGCAACACATAACTGACAAAGGATCACATCCAGAATCTATAAAGAACTCTTCCTGTCAATGAGAAAAAGGCAGCCTTAGATGGTTTGGCTCAGTGGATAGAGATTGGCCTGTGGACTGAAGGGTCCTGGGTTTGATTCCAGTCAAGGGCACATGCCCGGATTGCAGGCTCAATCCCTGGTCGGGGTTGTGCAGGAGGCAGCCGATCCGTGATTCTCATCATTGATGTTTCTAGCTCCCTTTCCCTTCCTCTCTGAAATCAATAAAAATATATTTTTAAGAAAAGCAGTCCTTGACTTAAAAAAGAAAAAGAATATTGGCCCTTGGAAATAAACACTCTGTCCCAATGAGTCAATCAAACTTCGTATCGTTTCTAGGTGGGAGGCGGCCAGGAGCAGGCTGTCTGTAATTATATAAATGTCAACCCTGTCCTTCGCAGCCTCCTCGAGGCAGGCAGCCGTGTCCTATTTATCATAATGTTCCCTGCACCTTGTTCCAATTTTTTTCTCATTTACTTGTTGGGTCTCCCATAAAAGAATGTCAGTTTCTCAAAGACAAAGTCTTTGCAATCATCTCTTATAAGACCCCGGGGGTGTGTGGAAGGTACAGTGTGTATCTGTTGACTCAATGAATAGAGCAAGTTCTGCTTTTTGAAAAGGTAGAAGGAAGAGTGAAAAGATTCGCCCTAGCTGGTGTGGCTCAGTGGATAGAGCGTTGGCCTGCAGACTGAAGGGTCCCAGGTTCGATTCCGGTCAAGGGCATGTACCTTGGTTGCGGGCACATCCTCAGTAGGGGGTGTGCAGGAGGCAGCTGATCGATGTTTCTCTCTCATCGATGTTTCTAACTCTCTATCCCTCTCCCTTCCTCTCTGTAAAAAATCAATAAAATATATTTTTTTTAAAAAAAGAAAGAAAGAAAGAAAAGATTCACCCTAGCTCGTTTGGCTCAGTGGATAGAGTGTCGGTCTGTGGACCGAAGGGTCCCAGGTTCAATTCCAGTCAAGGGCACATGCCTGGGTGGCAGGCTTGATCCCCAGTAAGGGGCCTGCAAAGGGCAGCCAATCAGTGATTCTCTCTCATCATTGATGTTTCTATCTCTCTCGCCCTCCCTCTCCCTTCCTCTCTGCAATCCATAAAAATATTTTTTAAAAAGAGTGAAAAAATTCTATTCCCATTTTAGAATTATCTGGTAAAGTTTTCTCTGCCAATGCTGCTATTGGGTCATTACAACCCTAAATAATTATATCCATCCGAGCGTCAGAACACCAGTCTCTGTTTAGAATTATTTACTGCAGAACTTCACGAGAGATGTTTCCTTGGGCTATCTCAGGTTTGAGCACCTAGACCTGTAGATGTGTGGTGACAAATTTGTGATGAGCCTGGCTGGTGTGGCTCAGTGGTTGAGCACCATCCCATGCACCAAGAGGTCATTGGTTCCATTCCTGGTCAAGGCACTTGCCCAGGTTCGGGCTCGATCCCCAGTAGGGGGCGTGCAGGAGGCAGCCAATGGATTCTCTCTCAGCATTGATGTTTCTGTCGCTCTCTCTCTCCCTCTCCCTTCCTCTCTACCTAAAAAATCAATACAAACGTATTTTTAAAAATTTGTGATGATTCTTCTGATTCTATTAAAACCTATAGAACAACAGGGCAAAAAACTTGGGGGGGGCGGGGTTTCAACATCCATAATCAGACAGTTCCAGCCTGATAGTTTTCATTTTTTCTTCTTCCTTTAGGAAGATGGTTTCTTTAAGGGATGTTTTTAAAGCAAAATGATCTTAAAATGATGTGACTAGAGAGCTACTAAGTTTTTGGTGACTCCATCAATGAATTCATATCTGAAATTAAAATAAGAAAATCACCAAAAAGGTTATTTCATATATTTGGCTCAGAGTTTTGTTTTTATTTTATTTTTAATATATTTTTATTGTTGATAGTATTACAGATATCTCCCATTTCCTCCCCCTCACCCAGCCCCTACCTCCCCACCCAGGTCTTCCCTACCCTATTACCCTTGTCCATGGGTTATGCATATAAGTATGTAAGTGGTTTATCTCTTCTTTTCCCCTATTTTTACTTATTTTAATGTTGACATTATTGTAGGAGTCCCCTCTCTCTCCCTCCCCCATTTGCCCAGCTCCAACCTCCCCCACATCCCCCTTCCTTGACTTTTATCAAATTATTGTCTGTGTCCATGGAAAACCCCACCACCTACTGTTTCTCTCATTCTCCATCCCCTCCCCCACGACCACACAGGCAATGAAACCGAATCCAAACTGGTGTCCAGGTACAGCTTCCGCGGAAGCCGCTTGAAGACCGGGCTTCTTGGGTTCCCACGCATCTTCCAGGCCTCGCCAACCCCCCGCCAACCCCTGCACCTACACGCAAGCAGCCTGGAGACTTACCCGGCAGCAGCAGGGCCAGCATCCCGTGAGCCGCAGCGCCTGTGGGTTACAGCCGCCCCGCTGGGTCCCTGCCTGCGGGGAGAGAGCACAGGTCAGCAGGCGCCCAGGAGCGGTGCCTGCAGAACCGGACACCCGGGCCCCCCTCACACCTCCCGCCTCCTCCCGGACTGCCCGGCTTCTCCCTCTTCTCCACACTCACTTCGCCCAATCATCTTGCTGTTGAGTTAAGAAGAACCACTAGCAGCCCAGCCGGTGTGGCTCAGTGGTTGAGCGTCAACCTATGAACCAAGAGGTCACGGTTCAATTCCCGGTCAGGGCACATCGGGCTCAATCCCCAGTAGGGGGCGTGCAGGTGGCAGCCAATTGATTCGTGTATATTTCTCTCTCTCTCTGTCTCTCTCTCTCTCTCTAACATCAATAAAAACATGTTTTGTTTAAAAAGAAAAGAAGAGCCAGCCCAGCCAGCATGGCTCCGTGGTTGAACGTGAATCTAAACCAGGAGAACACGGTTCAATTCCCAGTCAGGGCACAGGCCTGGGTTGTGGGACGATCCCCAGCGTGGGGCCTGCAGGAGGCAGCCGATCTATGATTCTCTCTCATCATGGATGTTTATTTTTCTCTCTCTCTCCCTTCCTCTCTGAAATCAATAAAATATATTTTAAAAAAAAGAAGAAGAAGCAGTAACAACAGCCAATCAGAAGCTCCCTTCATCAGGCTAAATCCCCGACAGCCGCTCAGAGGGACTCCCTGACAACCCAGTGAGAAGACAGAGAGGAACCCTCCCCAAGTGTCGCTTACCGGCCTGGGGGGTCGGCCTGGTCCCCTCCTCCTGCGAGGCTCCCTTGGGCTCCCCGGGCTCATCCATCTCCCAGGTCAGGCAGCCAACGCTGCTGAAAATCCTCCCACAGAGAAGGGGGGCGGGGGCAGGAGGAAGAGTTGCTTGTGCCGCTTTGAGCGCTTATTTCCTTCCTCCAGATTTAATGGCAGGAAAATCCTGTATCGGAGGAGGATTAGCCGAGATGATAGAATGTGTCTGCCTCTCGGATCACAAAAGCCAGTGGCGGGACGTGCTGCCACACCAATCGGCTTTATCCCCGGCCTGGGCCTCTATCCGCCCGGCCCCCTTCCCTCCTTCCCTCTGCAGA